TGTGGAAGAAATCTCCAATATACTCTGCTTCAGCATTGAAGAATTTTTTTCCTCTAATCTGAAAGTGTTCCATCCTTTGATTTTAAGCAGTCTGTTGATGAGCATGTCTTCTGTCCTGTTAGTTGCCTTATTTGTTTGTGCAAGTCTCTTTTGTTGGTAGTACTTAATCTTTCTATTTCTGCACATTTTTTGTTTAGCCATTCTTCTTTAGCTTGCCTGCATTTGGTCCTTATTTCATTGTGTAATTTTCTGTACTCTATTCCATATCTTGGCAGAGTTTTCTGTCTCCTTCCCATCATGTTGATAATCTCATCAGTCATCCATTCATTTTTCTTCTTTGTCCTGTCTCCTTTGGGATGATATCGTTTGCTGATGTCACTAAAGCATCTCTTAGTGAGTCTCATTTTGAGTTTCCATTGTGTACCTCATATCTTTTCACATTGTCCATATATTTTTCTTTTAGGTTAGGGTCACTCAGGAGATTGTTGTATTGCAGTTTGGGTGCTGCATTAGGCTTCTTCCATTTCCACAGTTTTACTCTTAGTTTACATATAAGAGGGTGATGATCACTTCTGCAGTTGGCACTTGGGTAGGTTTTGCATTAAATCATTGCATTCCTAAATCTTTTGTTGATAGTTATATAATCAACTTAGTTTTTAGTTTCTCCTTCTGGACTCCTTCATGTCCATAGTTGTTTCAGATATTCTTGGAACCATATTGGCTATTACCTGATCACTGGCTGTGCACCATTGGATCCATTTTTCTCCATGTTGATTGTGGGTTCCTAGTCTGAACCTTCCAGCTATATCCCCTGCCCTTTCCCTGCCTACTTTGGTGTTTAGGTCTCCCATGATAATGATGACTTACTGTGATTTGTAAGTAGAAAGAGTTGATGTCCTCTTCCTTGCTTTGTGCCATCAGTGCATACACTACTATAATAGCCACATTGAATGGCTTCCCTTTCAGCTTCACAACCAGACATCATTTGGTAAGTTGGTGGTATCCTAGAACGCATTTCTTAAATGCACTATCTAGTATTAGTCCTACTCCTTTGTCGTTCTTCTCGCTACCTGCATAAATTATCCTGTGTTTGTCACTGATAAAAATCACCATTGTTTGGCCGTCTGGTTTCATGTACGCCTAGAATGTTGATGTCTGTCACTTTATATTAATTTCCTTAGGAAAAGCATGAATCCCTCTCTTTATCATTATACTAAAGTTTTGTGAGGGCAACCAGTCTAGAAGAAGGATAACTGAATTCAAAACTGAAAACACTTCAAAAATTGGACAGTGTGGTAGTGTAAGGCTCATAACTGATAGACTTGAAAGAAAGTTTGAGTTCTTTCATGAACTGAAAAAAAGATGGCACACATTATATATATTACAAACACACAAACTAGTCAGGTTGGAGGTTTAAAGATACATTAGAAATTCATGAAGAAAATTGAAAATTTGAATTTTTTTTCTTTTTTTTGATAAAATATTAAATTTTGTTTAGAGATGATATCAGATTGTCAGACTATGCAATTCAATTATGAAATATCAATGTTGGAAGTAGATACAAGTATAAAAGATTATATACATAAGTTAGAATGCCCATTAATCACATAGTGATGCTGGCAATGTATGTGCCTACTTATAAATGTTTATTGAGTGGAAGTTGGAGAGGTAAGTCAATGTTGGAAAGAATAAGTGATGCAATAATTTAACTGATAGTTACAAACAAATTAATATTTTATGAACTAAAGCTCCCCAATTATTTTTTTCATAGATATACACACACATATTATATATGTGCATCAACATGTATATGTAAACATAGGTGCCTGGCTGTGTTGTTAGAATGTTAGTGTTCCAACTATAAGACCCTGGTTTGAATATCACCATGGTTGATTTTCCAATAATATTGGCCTGGTGAGATGATGTTAGCATGTAGCATTATTGGGAAGTACTGAAAAACATACCATGGGTTGACCAAAACCATGGGAGTGAAATTAGGTAGATAAATCTGTTTGGAAATTGTCCATAGTTGTGATCAAGAATGAATATACCAAGCATTGTTCAACATACTACACTAGATTATGCAGTCTCTCCCAGAAATTATAACTAAACCTCACTCATCATAGTTGCAATATAAATCACAGGTTGGGTGGTTGTTGTAAAGGCACACACGTGCATAAGCAGGTATCTGCAACAGGAATTAGCTAGCCACCCTAGCAGAAAAGTGTGCAACTGAATGAAAAAACATGTAAAAACTATGATTTATTATTATATATATAATATATATAATATTTATTTATATAAAATGTTTGGTGTTTATACTGTAGAATCTGTTATCATATATATATATATATATATATATATATATATATAAAATAAAAAAACAGTAAGATATATAATCCAGTGTTCTTATAGATATTTTTATTTTTACAAAATAGTGCTCAGTGTAAATTTACAGAGCATTAATATTATAAATTAATTGATTTAAAATATAGTTTTTTTTCACTACACAGTTCTAACCATGTTTCAAAAATGGAAGCTGAACGCTCCGAATTTAATTTTGTAATTAAATTAAAGACATTAGTTCCATTTCATCCTCAAGCGAATTTTGAAGTAACTTTTAAAATTACTGGGTTTTAAAAACACAGCAAAAATCATAATTCACGTTTCCAAGGTTACAGAGAAATCCATTCAACCAGACTAGGGGTGTTTGTGTGTTCATTATCGCTGTATTTTGATGTATCAATTATTAGTTACGTTTTGGTAGGGGTAGGGATGTATTTTTCAATGAAATCTAACATCCGTTAAATGCATGTCGTCTGGATTTTTAAAAAAAATTTTATTGTTAATGGCAAAAATTCTTACAGCATTTTTTTCTATTTGTATATTTAAAGATTTTTGGGGGGGTGTTTAAATTAGAATACGTTTTATTTAACTACAATTTGAAAAATATTTTCACTTAATATACTATATTTCTTTTAAGAACAAGTAAATCTATTAGAATCCCTTACATTATGTAGAATTATTTTCACATCAAGTATAAGTATGTATATTATTAGGTAACTTTTTAAAAAAGAATTATATTTAAATATTATTTAAGTAAAATTTATGACAATGACGGCAAAAATAGCTAATTAATTTCACTGATTTAGTAAACTTTTATTTTTTTATATAAACCTAGTAATATATTGTTTCTCATGTAAGTACAAAGGACATGGGTCATCCAATGGCTTACATCTAGCTTTTCATATTAATTTCATTTTACTGTAGGTGTTTTATTGGATTCTTTTAAGTTCTTGTAGTACTTTGAGGGAGGTCTTTAGGTTAGAATACGTTTTATTTAGTTACAATTTTAAAAGATGTTTAGGTTAGAATTCGTATAAAGCAAACAAATTTTGGATTTGATAAGGTAATTTAATTTAGTGCCCCTCATGTCCTGAAAAATCCCTTCACCTTTTCCTTACATAGTTTTGTCTTTCATTCCATCAATATTTCAGCACTGAAATGAGTTATTGAAAAGCTTTTCCACTTTGTCCCATTATCTCTTTCTGTTTAGGATACTATTCTATATCCTACTAACATATGTATATACATGAGAGATATAGAAATGATGGACAAACTTTAGTTCATAAAAAAATAATAATTATTGCTTGTAACTAACTGCACTGTCAAATCAGTAATAAAGAAATACTAACAGGACTGATAACAGATTCTACAGTATAAACAGCAAACATTTTATATATAATAATAATGATAAATCATAGTTTTTTACATATTTTCTCATTCAGTTAGAATTTTATGTGACTGGCCACTGTCAAGAGTGATAATGAGTGTAACAGCTACTGTTACTAATACCTGGATAGGAAGGTAGTAACAGTTTGCACAAATGCTTAATCAGCTACCCTTAGGCATTCTAGTAACAAGATTTACCTTTTTTTTTTTTTTTTTCAAGATATCTAGCAATAGATAGGTAATATGAATTTGTACCTTTCCCAAATAAACATAAGCCTCAGCAGAAATTTAAAATGTTTCCATTTTCTCTTATAACCATTATGGAACTCTGAACATACTACACTTGTTACAATTTAAAAAGAAAATTAAAAATAATATTGCAGAGCTCTGACATGAAATATGTAATAAACTCTTTAAAATATCCCACTTACCTACAAAGTATTCATGTATAATTCACACTTTATAGAGATTCTGAAACCCCAAAATTAGATGCATGTATTTTATAAAGAGAAGCAAATATTAACTTTTTTTTTTTTTTTTACTGAGTTATGGGTATTACTATATTCAGGACAGCTTGATTGAAAGTTATCTTTATGACTCAAACTAACTATTGTATGACGAAGAGTTTAAATCACAAACCAAACATTGCATTTGTTTTTAAAAATTCATTCACATTAGATATTAAGCACATTTCAGTCTGATTTATTGCTGCCCGTATCAAAGGCAGACATTCCACCAGGAATGATGGCAAGATCGATTTTCATTGATTCCAGTTGCCATTTCACATCAGTCTCTTGATAGTATCTGAGTGCATTGAGGACAAATAAGAATGGCTATTTCAGCAGGCTGTCTCACTCACACCATTTTAACCCAGTCACACATCATCTGTGTCAAATCAACTCTTCTCGTGAACATGCATCTCTATTCCTCTTGGGAATGTCTCCCTTGACATTGTCTTTCTCTTAAAGAAAGCCATGTCAATACATTTGCTCTAAAAACTGTGCAAATTGTGTTATTTAGTTGATACATTGAACAAATGTTAAATTTAGCTGCTATAAATTCAAGAAATTCTATATTATAAGAGATATTTTTCTGTTCTGGAATTTTCAAGTCCAAACTCTGTGCCTATAATACATTAATATTAATAAATATATATAGATAAAAATGAGGGAGTGTAATGAAGAGATCATAGGCACACCTAGAAGGGGTTAGAAAAACACACACATATAATATATATATATATATAAAAAAAACAAAAAGTATGGCTTACAGCCATATAGCTTTTAAATGCTGGTTCCTGTACGATCACTGAAGTTAAGCAAAGTTGAACCTGATCAGTTCCTTGATGAGTGGCCACTTGGGAATACCAGGTGCTATAAGCTTGGATGTACAGTGGTGTAATGGATAAGGACTTGGAATTGTTAATCAAAGAGCAGAGTTTCAATTTCAGTTGGGTTTGTTTTATTCCCTTACATGAAAACACCATTGGGAAAAGGTATGAAGCCACTTCTTCTCCTAGCTATGGGACAATTAGTAAAACTTGTATCACTAAACCATCATTATCTCCAAAAAAAGTTCTTACAATCTAAAAATATTTTCTAGCTTGAATAACCTGTAAAGTGTTGATAAGTTGTAAAAAAAAATAAAATATCAATCAAAAAGCAAAAAATTATGCTTGCTTTCTTTTTTTTTTAACTTAGAACTGAGCTAATAGTAAATACAGAGTCTAAGAATTTAAAGTCTAGTTCTTAACAGTGTTCCTTCCTAAATCGTGGTATTCAATCTTTAAAATTGGGGCACATATACTTGCCTTAAAGAAGATTAGCTACTTTCTTAGCTATGTGAGAGTTGCTGTATTTACCTCATCATCATTAGTCTTTGAATGTTTTCCAAATACCTCCTTCATGGATTCCAAATAGATGAAAGTATGAGGCTGCCATATCAGGACTGAGATAAAAGAGACAAGGTTGTCCAGCTATATGCAGTGATTGCTTATCTGGACCTTAAACAACTATGAGGCCTTGCATTGTCATGTTGCAAAAGCACATCACTAATTTTCAAATGCAGCCTTACACAAATGTAGTTTTGATGTGAGTTTTGATAATGTGTTCATATAAGAGTCAGAATTAATAGTGGTGCCATTGGGCATAAACTAACAGTATGATTCCATTCTTGTCCCAAATCATAGTGGCTATAATTTTCCTTGCAGAGCATTCTGCCTTAAATTTGTTTAAAAGTTTGGATAGTTCTACTCAACTTATCATAGTGAAGAACCCAGATTTTATGTCCTGTAGCCACCCTGCTTAAGAAAGTGCCATCTGTTTAAAGAAGTTCCAGAAGAGCTTGGGTATCAACCACTATCTACCCCTTCATTGAGGATGTCAGCATTCCGGGAACCCACTTTGCATAGACCATTGAGTAGCCATGAGACTGCATTAAACTACAAGCACTACCATGACTTACCTGAAGGTTTTCATAGAATTTTTAATTAGTAGTTCTTCTATTAGCTGTAATGAATCAGCTAGTTTGGACTTACCCTCATTTACAGCAGCAGAAGGCCTGCCACTGCAGGGTCTGTCACTAAGGTCTGTTTCTCAGATTGTCATTAACTCTACAGATTCATTTTCTTATTGTGTTTAGATCAAGTGCAGTTTTTCTATAAACATTCATTAACCTCCTACTAATTTCAGTACTTCCTCCTCACAGCAGAAATTCTATAAAAGCTTTTTGTTCAGAGAAAAGAATGGCCATTTTGAGAGTAGAATATAGATAGGAAAAGAGAAGGTAACTTCACATTTTTCCTCTGAGCTTTGAGACACTTTATGGCTTAGAGCTAAAAAAATAAGAGCCTTAGGAATTCTAATACTTTTAAAATTACATTGGAACTGGCATTACTTTTTTTGACTTGTGTGTGTGTGTGTGTGTGTGTGTGTGTGTGTGTGTGAGAGAGAGAGAGAGAGAACATACAGGGTACTGAAAATTTATTGAGTCCAAACAAGAAAGGATTAAAAATTTCTCTTGCCTGGTCAGATTTTAAGAGATGTGTCAGGCTTTTTTTTTTTTTTTTAACACCTGTTCATGTGGTATGTTAATAGATGTTAATGAAATACTTCAGAGTACAGATATAACATTGATACAAGAGAAAGGAAGTGTCACATTAATAATCTTGTCATTTTTAATTGGCACTAGCCTCAGTAGAAAGTGAAAAGATTTGGAAAGAAGAGGCAATTAATATTGCTTAGATTATTTAACTTACATGTAAATGAATTAAAAATGGAAAATGTACATAAAAAATTAAACATGTATTCTTGTTAAGTTTGTGTTATCCATTATGGCTATAAAGAAACTTCAAATTGTATTTCTACCACCCCAGTGACTGCTTCATAGGAATGGGTGAGGTCTGTAGATTAGAGGTTAATAGGTTTGTTTTGGGCTATTCTCCTAATATTCATAAAACAAATGAGGCTTGAAGGTGATTTTAAAATATATAGAGTTACAAAGAAACATTTTTAATCATATAAAATAGATTAGAGTTCATTTGGTTATTCCTGCACTTGACACAGCTTTCACAAAGATTTTGCTATGGTAACTAAATACAAATTGCAATAAAGTTATTCAGTACACGTGTAAGTAAGCGTTTCTTTAAAAGCTTATGTTGCAAATCAATACTTTTGTGATATGTTTTATGACAAAATTTCAAGTGTATGTCTTAATTGAAAGTAGTTATTTAAAAGATTTTAAAGCAAAATATGAATTAATGAGCTTAGTCAAAATATCTTGATGAATCTGTGTCCTTTATGTAAGTGGACCTAATATAACAGTACAAAATTTGGCATAATGGCATGTTAAGGGATAGCATAGAAAGGATAAGAAGTTATTGACCACCATTTAAAAAAAAAAAAAAAAAAGGAAATAAAACATCAGATCTCAAAATTAAATAGATTTAATTTGGGCAATCCTGAAATGAGATATAAAATTGTTTTCCTTCACTAAACTGAAAATATTTGAAAATTCTTCATTTTTAACTTTCACTTAAGTTATTAATGTTCTTTGTCTTTACAAAAATTATTTAAATAGATTATCTGGAATACAAATTAATCATTCAGTTTTACATTTTAAGAGTATAAACCATTAGACATGGCCAAATACAAAAAAATAAATAACAGAACTCTCCAACAAACAGAATTGATAAAGTTTGTAATAAGAGAAAGAAAAGAAAGTAACAGGTATAAAACAAGCAAACAATATATACAAAGCAAATTATCAGTAATAAGGCAAAAAATTTACAAATTAAGAATTGGCATCAACACATAAAAGCAAGTTTGGACAAGCAAATGTAGTGTTCTGATTTCAAGACAAGACAGACCGGTACTGCATTATATGAAACTTCAAACCAGCCTATTTTATTGGCCAAGAAAAAATCCCAGCATGCATCTGTGAGCTTCTGCCTATAAAAAGAGGGAGGGTCAAGTATTTTGCAGTCATTCCTAAGCAAATTGAAATCAACAAACCACAAAGTTTTAGTCTTGGCAACAGTGTTGGGCAGTTATAATAATAATTTTTTTCTTTTTGCTATCTCTCCTAAATCCTGTTCGGCCATCCATTTACACAAGCTCATTAGGTAGGTTATGTGCAGTTTTCCTTCATCCCTCGTGTCTTCAAACACAGAAAATATTTTTATTTGAATAACCAAACAATTATAAGAGCCATTATCAAAATTATTTATAAAGATAATGAAAAAAACCAGATTGGAAATCAATTTAAAAAAAAATTGATTTTAATGCTGAATATACAAATGAATTATCTCCATTATGCAGGAACTGTGAAGCTGGGCGAGATGTCAGATATATGCTGGTAGATATAACAAAACCCAGGTTTATTTGATGCTGCAGCTTTACATAACATTTACACACACAAAACCTTGTATTTTAATTTTTAGGGTTTCAAGCAGGTATATAAACTTTCATCTTTATATATTAAATTATTCTATATGACAGTTTATTAGGATTATTAAGACAGTTGAAGTTAATTATAATAAATTAAAATGGTACAAAATTTTCTTTTTAACAGTATCTTCCAAAAGGTATATTCTGCAATGTTGGAGAGGGTGGGGGAAGAAGCAAAACTTGACTTTATTTCAAAGTTCAAAAACTGTGTCATTAAAAGTAATTCTAACTTTTCATTTCTTAAATAAAAGAAAAAAAAAAAGAAACTGGTTTCAGGACCATATATATATATTATATATATTATATATATATATATATATATATATATACACACACACTACAAACATTATTTTTAGTGGATACATGTGTGAGTTACTAGATATATTTTTTATTTTTTTTAAACAATCAAATTAATAACATCAAGGTACTATTAAAAATAAATATGCCTCCAACAAGAATTGAACCTGTATCCTTTTTTTTCATCAAGGAAAATACCCATATGGCTGAAGCATACCATTACCAATTTAGCCATAGGAGACCATTTTAATAAAGCAAAGTTTAATTTAAGTATTTAAAGAATGCACATTTGTCATTGGGACTTCTATGAAAATATCTGCTGGCTCCATTTTTGCACCAAAAATGTAAACAGTAATCTTTAAATAGATTTTTTTTTAATATGACATAATTCCTTTTTAATAGTGAATCCTCTTACAAAAGATTTTAAGAGAAAATGTGTAATAAAATAAAAAATATATATATATATATATATATATATTTCTTGTTCAAATGCCTGAATTTGACCCAATAATGAAGAAAATCTGAACAGTTCATAGAGTAGTGTCTATAAAGAAAAAGAGGGGATGGCATTTATTACCTTCCTGAAAAGACTCATTATAAATCTAATTTAGTAGGATGTAAATTATGTCAATATAAATTGATTGATGAATAAACAGAGAATCTTTTTTCGGTATCGTTAGAAAGACGACGTTAATGTCATCAACATAGATTATATTTAATAAGTTTGGCTTGGGTTCAGATCACAAGATGATATATGTGCAGATCTTGGGCTAATCTTTTATGTCTGTCAGTGCACAGTTAGTTTTTAGACTGTGATAGCTGCAACTTGAATAATGTGTGAGGAAAATTCAACTGAAGATTTGTATTGAACTTGTAAGAGAATGAATGTCTAAAATTAGTGATTACATTGTTTTACAAAGTAAATGTTTTTTTAGAGATTTAAAGATTATCATTGATTTTCCAGTTGAAGCAAGAACAGATTATATATGAATATACTAAAAAATGTAGTTTAGAATATACTGATTAATATTGTAGAGTAAGAAAGCAAAATTATCATCTTTATGATTTGAACAGACATATTTAGATAATGTTTGTTTTTTGTTTAATAATATAAGAAGCAAAAGCATATTCTAAG